GCTTAGTAGCCCCGCCTTCACCAATTTTCTATAAAAGAGGCGCGTTGCTCTCTGAAGTTTAGTCTCCTATCAGAACGCGTGCGGTTCAAACCAAAGATGACGAGCACAGGCTATACCTTATACCTTCAACAAGGTGCTGGAAAATATGAAGACAGCGAAGAAAGCGATTTCTCCCAAGAAAGCGAAGTCTCTAGCCAAGGAACGGAGTCTTCCCAAGAAGAAGAAACGGAAAACTTAGAGCCTTGGTCACGCATTCTTGGTGAAGCCGAGAAACGCCATGAGACCCAGCTCAACGCATTGATCAATGAGTACGAAGGGGACGGAGATTCAGAAAATGTGGCCCGCGTGAAAGCCGAGAACGCTCTTCTTCCTGTTTACAGAAAAGAGCTAAGAAAAGTACTCTTAGGCAATCTACAGTGGATGTGTGCAATGAAAAAAGACCCCACCTTCAAAAAAGTGATGGAAACTCAAAAAGAGCTTAAAGACACAGAAGGATTTGATTGGTTGGAATCGACAGAACTAGCGATCGATAAGCGGAAATTCTTACTCAATCGATTGTACGAAAAGCAGCCCATTCCACAAGATGAAGACTAGACATTACTATGAATGTTACAGAATTTTTTATTTCCTGGATCTTTGTATTGTTGCACTTCAATAAAAACTGTAAACAACCAAACTTTAAGTGTGTTTTATTGATGACTTAATCCTAGAAAAGAACCAAACGAATGCTCGATAGACCAATAACAAATTAATTAAAGGGTTGTCGATGCACTTTGCAGTGGAATATTTTATTTTTCAATAGACCTCCTAACAGTTGTGTGTGAAACGGTACCTTATCTTTTTGTTAGAGGACTTAAGCATGATTGCTTAATTTGCGAGAACACAAAAGAGGCATGAGTCAGATGCAAATTACTACTGGTTAACAGAGCGTGTAACAAGACATCAAGATAAAGTAATTTTATAGAGAGAGCACTGTTTGCAATAGATTGAAATAAAGAGTTTGAGCTCCATTTTTTGCGTCTGAGTTTTGTTTATAACCGAATTTTTAGTTAGGCAAGCGAACTTGTTTCCTTACCAAAGCAATAGTCCAGTTTCGAATTCCCCGCTCCTTCTGAGAAACCGCTGGATTTTCGTCTAGCAGGCACAAGTTTTGCACCGGGTCGAGGCTTACCCTGTATTCCAACTCAGCAAAACATGTTAAGTATACGAAGCGATCGTGAGAAGCTGAAAAGTTTACTTGATTTATTATGGAAATTCCTGCTGCGCCCATGAGCGAATCATTAGAAGCGATCAAGAAGCTGAAAGTGAAAGAGCTAAAGAAAATTTTACGTGATCGGGGGCAGCCCGTAACCGGAAAGAAGGCGGATTTAGTGTTACGTTGTCAGGTACTTTTTGAAAGGCCAAAAACACCTACTAAAGTAGCGCCCGAGCAAGAAAATGCACCATTATTACTTGTTGCGTCTAGCTGTAGCACGAAAAATGCTGATATAACTTATGAGAGCCTTGTGGCCGAAGCGGCGGATTGCATATGGGCTACCGACTTACGAGGACTACCACCTTTCAATTTCGTGCAGTTGTACGATTATCTTGTCATCGAAACAGCAAAATACGATCACGCTTCAATTCGCACGTCAGGATACAAAAAATTGAAAGCTTTTCAATTCTTCAAAGAGGGGCACATCAGAAAGACACATATTGGTGCAAAAGGCGGACTTACCTTCGTTAAGGGAGAAGTATTGGCTTCCATGAAACAGAAGAAATACAAGCTCATGATCACAATGAGCCACCTTGGAGAAATCTTTAAGGCAGCCTGCCAGTGTCCAGCAGGGTAAGTGTCAAAATGCAAGGTTGACGAGGTTTAATAGTTTGGAGGAATGACTGGATAATATTCCGCAAAGGGTTTGAAGATAATGCCACACACATCTTAGAAGAGCAATAATAATGAGATTTGAAAAAGAGCCACATTTTCCTTTTTTTTTTCTTAGAAACATAATGTACATCTCTGAAAAGAAGAAAAGTATAGCATCCTTACAGTATGGCCAGGTACACGAATGTGATGCTGTTGCAAGTTATGTTGCTGCAAAAGCTGCCGAGGGGAATACTTTGTTGCGGGTAGAGGAAGTTGGAACAATGTGATCAAAGGAAAGACCAGGTTATGGTGCAAGTTTGGACAGAAAAGTGTATGATCCGAAGGCCTCTGGCATGAAAGGTGGAGGCCTGGAAGTCAAATGCCCATACTGTAAGAGGGGAATAACAGTTGAACAAGCATGTAAAGATCCAAACTTTTGCTTGTATATAGATGATGATGGGGTTCCTAGGCTTAAGTTTGGACATAAATATTACTACCAAGTCCAGGGTCAAATGTATGTCTGCAATTTAGAATGGGTAGATTTTGTTGTGTGGTTCGGAGGTAATAATGTTTTTATTGAACGTATTTATTTTAACAAGGATTGGTGGTACCAAACAGTACTCCCCAGGATAGATTTTTTCTATAAACGAGCTTTCCTTCCTGAAATGTTCACCAGGAGAATTGAGCGAGGTGTCAAACTATATAACCATGGGGGTTGGAAAAGCTTCAAAACAGTGAAGAGGAAGTAACAAAAATATTTACTGAAATCAGTTGTTGTCACGAACATCCATAAAGGTTGAACATCTATTCACTTTGAGATAAACTCTAATGATAGATGTAAAATTCCTTCTCACAGTACCAGTACAAACAGATCATGAGAATGAAGGAACAGAAATATGTTTAGATAATTATAACAAGTAAGGAGGACAGTGTTGTTGACTTTGCAGCTTAAGGGATTCAAGTGTCTGAATGCAATTTTTTTTATACAAATCCTTGATATTGTTATGAGTTGACATTTATTATATTTTTCTGAAGTGCAGTTTGTTTGAAACATTACAATATTATACCTTAAACAATAAATAAAAGTTATTACTGTTGCTATTACTGGACTACATATAAAACTGTTTATGTTATGTAATTTATACTTACTATCTGTAGTTTCAGGTAACCTTTGATTCAGCACAATAAGCACACATCAAGGTATAAATAGTGATACTGCACCTTTCAGTAACAAGGCCTTATGTGCCACAAGGCACCAAGAGGATTGAATGACTCACTGACTCACTGACTAACCTTTCAGTAACACACAACACACGCTACAAGTGCATATAATTTTGTTTCTATTTATCATGATAGAAGTCAATTAAAAATAAAATCAAGAATCAAAAACATATTATTTATTGAAATTATTACAAATTTCACAAGCATATTGCATGGCTTAGAAAGACTGTTGAGGTGAACTTCTGTTTCCTGAGATGCCTTCTTAGATGACTGATGATAAGATAAAATGCAGCTGTTCATTATAGCTATAGAAAGTACTATAGCTATACTATCTTACTACTATACTATACTAATGATAGCTGCATGTTATTGAAAGGTACAGTAAAAAAGTTGCAAATACCCAAGCCTACCCTTTTCATGAGCTTTATGCAGGGGGGAGAAGAGGAGGCAGAAAATTGGTCAGGTAAGCACAGACCGAAAATATTTGGTCTGCAATATGGGCCAGGGTCAAAGGTAGTGTGCCATCAAGTATGTGGTAGTTCTTGATTCTCCCTATTGCCCGCTCAACATGAATTCGGACAGAGGCAATATGAATGGTCTCAGTTACTTCTTCAGCTGTTAGCTGAGCCCTGGAACCTTTGAATGGAGGTCTATTAAGGCCAACACCTGGTGGTAAAATACTCGTGATTTCAAAACCACGATCAGCCATGACATTATCCCCAGGCTTAAGATATTGTAGAAACCCAGACTTCTCTGTTATGAACCTATCTGAAACCCTACCACCCCACAACTTTGAAACAAAAATTACTTGACCATTTGGGGAAATTCCAACTAATACTTTGAATGTATTATGATGTTTGTAGTTGGACCAGGTCTGTGACTGGGCCAACATTGAGAATGGCACCTCCACAAAAACCTCTGAGCAGTCAATAATAGCATGAGTAGTAGGGTACAGGGCAAATTGCCGTGGCATGTTTCTCCGCAAAGCTTCCTGGGAAGGGGAAGGAAATAATTGGTGCAACTCAAGATACAAGAAATTAATCCATGTACAAAATATCTTACTAAAGCTTGCTACAGAAATTCCAAATCTGTCAGCTATATCTCTAACAAAAAGACCTACTTTTAACCTGACAAGGACAATAAACAGTTCAGTTAAAGAACTTAATTGTCTCTTGGGGCCTGGCTTCTTTTTCCCTTCCCCCTGGTATGGTCTAGAGTCTGGAACATTTTTTGGACCCCAGTATTGCAGCTTGGCCACTTTTGGTTGAAGGTAATTAGGGAAAGCTACTAAGGCCTTGTAATTGGGAAACCCTGTGTAGAATTGAATAGCAGAATTGTCATCTTTGAATTTTTCAAGAGTAAATTGCCTTTGTTTGTACTCATCAATTTCTTTTTGCAGCTGCCCAACTTTTTTCTGAAGATTAACTAAAATTTCCTCCTTTACTTCAAGCTGCTCATGTATAGACTGCGTCAATTTGTTTATGTCAGTGATATCTCCAAAGCTAAAGGCATAAGTATGGTCACCAACTCCAGAGGTAAATGAAAAACATGTCTGTGTGGACTTATCTTCAGTGTGTTTTGTAAACACCACCTCACTCCCTATTTCGCCTTCTTCAGTGCTACTGTTTGAACAGGTAAACTAAATGTATAAAAAAGGACATATATTAAGGAACAAAAAAGGCACAAACTTCATGTGGCAACAAGAGGAATATATCTCAAAGAAGGAAGGACCCCTGCCACTCAAACATAAATGTCAAACCTCATGGGACTTCAAAGAGAATGTCACCCAAGACTTCGGGATGTGATACAGATTCACAGTGAGCAAATTCTATTTATACCTCAACTTCTCCCAAAGGACATATGGTTCCAAAGTCTGCATCTTTATCCATACATGACATCTCTGCTTTCTCTTCTGCACCTGAGGGGCACGAACTTGGTTTGAAGTTTACATCTTTCTCTGCTCTCTCCTCTGTTGTTGAACTGGTACATTTATATGTTGATCGATCCTTTGGTGGTTTCCGTGCTGGCAGAGGTGAAACTGACAACCAGTGAAATATTGATGGTTCCACTCCTAAATTTGGAATGTGAATTTTATGCATTGATGCAATAGAAGATTCTGATAAACCTTTATTTGAAGGCGAAGTCTCTCCGACATGTGTGTGTGTGAGAGAGAGAGATCTGCAGTCCTCCACAGAACTGTATATTTTTTTTTCTTTTCATGTTTCTTTAGTTGAAACAAAAAACCAATGTACCTGGTCTTCTTCATGCTTGCCATGAGACAAACACAAAAAATGAAATTTTATGTTTTGTAAAGAAAGCTCATTGAATGAAATATAAACAAAACAAAATCCAATAAAATAAAACTTACAATTAATTCCAGAAGCAGACACAGTAAGAAAAGGTTTTCAGAATAAACACCATGTATATGTAGCTTATATTTACTACTGGGTCTAGAAAAAACAAACAAAAACACAAACACCAAAATAAAGTAACAATGAACTGTTTTATTTCTTTCACGTCAGACGACAAAGGAATATCATCGTTTATACAATTCTACAGTCCCAGTTTAGGAGATCTGCATAAAAATTACATGCCAATTCAATAGTGATTTAATCTTATTTAGTGCCATGAAATCTTCAATACATAAACTCCAAAACACGTATCATACCTTTTCTCAGTCTGCACCTCACTCCCCCAACACCTTTTATTATGTCGTGTTTCCGAAAATGCTTCTCGCATATTACTGTATTCTCGCATACGCGGAAACCGTCTCGTCGATCTTGGCGTTTTATTAAGTTACACCAACGTGCTTTGGCTGGATTCTTAGTCGGGAATTTAAAAAAGTGCAACCCCGATCTACTCCCATCACTATTATATTCAAAGCTGCTGCACTCAGCTGCAGCACACTCTTTCCCCCTTCTTCTTCGGTTTCCTTCCTCTTTCCTTTTTTTTCTGTCCTTTTTCTGGTCCATTTTGAGGAAAAGAAAGCGAAGAGCGAAAGCGTGTACAGGGTTAGCCTCGACCCGGTGCAAAACTTGTGCCTGCTGGACGAAAATCCAGTGGTTTCTCAGAAGGAGCGGGGAATTCGAAACTGGACTATTGCAAGAGTAATATGCTGAACGGAGAGTGCTCTTTTATTTGGAAGATAGAATAGATTCTACAATCAGGGTTAAAGAGCCCGGGCAAGTCTAGGCAAGCCTATTGTTCCTATTGAAGTAGAGTGACGCTCATTAGTAAACCTATACCGAATTAGTATGCAGGAAGACACTGACTAGGCACTTAATTAGTATGGAGGAAGGCAGTGACTAGGCAGTTAATTAGTATGGAGGAAGGCACTTTTTCTCTAGGTTATAACAATGGGTGACGTCATAGACTAGACCCATCTGCCTATTAATTAAGGGAATCCACTTTTTGCCAGGGAATCCAAAGGGAATCCACCAACGAGGCTTATCTTTGACCCTAGTAGACTACTCTCAAACAATTAAAGTGTTAATTTACGCAAAACCCTGAAAATACAGGCTAAATTGTAACCAGACCGAAACCCGACAAAGGGATGCAATCAGCAAAGAACTAATGAAATAAATTAAACTCAACAGTAGTCAGCAAGGATATTTAAAGAAAACCAAAGGATGTAGGCTTATTGTTGAGTAGCAATATTTTCAAGCAAGTTAAAACCCGACCCAAAGTCCTAGCAATGGATGAGTGTAATATAATTTCAGGCAAACAACAATTAAGATAAATGTAGAAAAATATGCACAAGATTTTCGCTGAACAAAGAACATTGATTAAATGTTACTGGAACGTAACAAAAACCAGAACAATAGAAAGCCTTTGCAATTAACGCTAATGTGTTAAAGGTTTTTCTTTTTCTTTTCAGATGCTTCATTTAACCCCTGAAATTTAACGCTTTTTGCTGCAGAGAATTTTAATCAGTTCGTTCCTGCAAGCCAATTATGTTCTTTTTAACGGGCCCGGACGAACAGTCCTTTGTTGCCTTTGCATTTATACCTCTCAGTATCTTATAGAAAATTTTACCGCAAGGTGTTTACTTTCTTTGAGAACAGACATGGGAAAGCGAATAATAACCTTTTTCGATACTAATAAGAATTACTTTTTAACCTACGCAAACTGTGCGGTACTTGTTCTGGTCTTGTGCAGTGCATTCACTGAGAACGTGCAATAGACTGAACAAACTACAAATTATAGCGGAGCTCCATAGCCAAGGAAATGTGGTAATCTAACCATCCGAGAAAATTTGGCAATCACGTGACCGTACACCGAGCGAGCGAGCGACCGTCCGTCTGCACCACAGGCATACCAATGTAAAATAACTCAATCAACAGGTACGGCAACCCAAATGCAACTCAAGGTTTTATTTGGAAGGAAATCACATGGCCACCCTTTTTCGGCGTTATTTCTTATGTTTACGCTAACGTGGATAACAGAGAAAGAGCTAGAGCGAGTTATTGAAAACAAAAAGAAGACGAATTTCGTATGGAGAAAAACATGGGAATACAAAGCGGCGTTGAGAAAATGAGAAATGCTAGCGGCCAGCAAGGTGAAAATGAGCGGCGGTGGAAAATAAAAGGGAACATGAACACAGGAAACAAAATATTGGGTAAGCACATACGACAATTCCTCCATGAAAAGAATGTGTAACTAGGAAGTTTGGCGTTTTAGACCCTGTTTACATGGAGTGGGGGACCCCGGTCTAGTGGGGTAGGTTTCTTTTGTTTTGTGTCCGCCAGAGCGTAAAAACAAAAGAAACTAACCCCAGTAGACCGGGGTCCCCCACTCCATGTAAACAGGCCCTTAGTCGTACAAAACAGCGTTGTAGTCGTGCAAAACAACGGCAAGTGAAAGACAAGAAAGCGTGCTGCACGTGCAAATTTGCTTTTTGCTAATTATTAGAAGACAAAGTGTCCTGCACGTGCAATTGGTTTTTTTGCTAATTAGATCTATTAGTCTCGAAGCCATTTTCATTGTCGTCTCTGTTTAGCATTACACGATTTAAATTTTTTTGTTCATAAGTATTATTAACCAGAGCGTCGCTTTTAGCCCTGGCTAAATCTATGTACTAAACGTTACAACAACTTTAAAAGACAAATTCAGGCTCGAAAAGGCGACGAGTCTGTGGTTAGAAGAAAGTCTTTCATATGTTACATAAGCTGACTTTTTCAGCGATAATAGAAAGTGTAAACAAAGGAATAAACTTCATTCAAGAATTCAAGCGGTTTTCAGAGCACGAGTTATGGAAAAAGAGTAAGCAAAGGGCAGTTTATGTAAATTGAAAAATTATGGTTATTCATATGGTAACGATTTGAAAAAAAAGGAGAAAATTTGTCATGCATCGGCTTTCTGAGGGTTCACCATGCTGCTTTCCTAAATAAAAGTCCTAAGCGGAAAAATAGCTAGCTTGTTAGTTCTAGAACATTATCATAATCAAAGAAAAAATTAGTAAGAAATTATGAAGGGTAATTTTCTCAGCGATTGAACGCTAAATCTCCTTGTAACCGAATCTTATGGTCTATATTACAATATTACCTGTTCTTGCCCTCGAAGAGAAAAATAGAAGAATAA